TAATTATCATCATCAACACACCATCACCATCAACGCACCACCACCACCAGCACCATCATCATCAACAACAACATCAATATCAATATCAACATCAACATTAACATCAGCATCAACATCAACACCCTTATCACCATCAACAGTACCATCAACACCAGCATCAGCATCACCACCATCATCACCATCATTATCGAAGACACCTACGGCGAGTCACGTCGTCCCGCCTTTTTGGAAGCGCCTATGTGGCCGAACGTTGAGGCCAGACTTGCCAAGCTATCGGATCATGTGTTCCCCGGATCGGTGTGGAAAGTCCTCGGGGAACACATGGGCATCTTGAAGGTAATCTTGGCCGTCTGGAGGCCATTTTGACCCTGTCGGACCTTCTTGGAGGACGTCTTGGAGGCCTCTCGGGCCGTCTTGGAGGCCTCTTGGGGCCGTCTGGGGCGATCTTTGGGGGCACTTAGGCCGTCTCGGGCCGTCGGAAGGCAGGAAGTCGTTTGGGGGGTCTCTCTTGGCCGACTTGGGGCCCTCTTGGAATGCTCCAGGGCCGTCTTGGAGGCCATCTTGGGCGTCTGAAAGGCCTCCTGGGCAGTCTTGGGGGCCTCTTGGGCCGTTCTGGGGCCATCTTGGAGGCCTCTTGGGCGATCTATGGGCGATCTTTGGGGGCTCTTGGGCCGTCTCGGGCCGTCGGAAGGCCGAAAAGAAGCAACTGTCATTTTTAATATAAATATATGTATATGTCTGTCTCTCTGTCTGTCTGCCTGTATGTCTGTCTGTATGCATGTATGCAATGTAATGTAATGTAATGTAATATAATGTAATGTAATGTAATGTAATGTAATGTAATGTAATGTAATGTAATGCAATGCAATGTAATGTAGTGTAGTGTAGTGTAGTGTAATGTAATGTAATGTAATGTAATGTAATGGAATGTTTTGCATTGTATTGTAATGTAATGTAATGTAATGTGATGTAAGGCAATGTAATGTAATGCAATGTAATGTAATGTAATGTAATGTAATGTAGTGTAGTGTAATGTGTTGTAATGTGTTGTAATGTGTTGTAATGTAATGTAATGTAATGTAATGTAATGTAATGTAATGTAGTGTAGTGTGATGTGATGTATTGTAATGTAATGTAATGTAATGTAATGTAATGTAGTGCAGTGTAATGTAATGTAATGTAATGTAATGTAATGTAATGTGTTGTAATGTAATGTAATGTAGTGTAGTGTAGTGTAATGTAATGTAATGTAATGTAATGTAATGTAATGTAATGTAATGTAATGTAATGTAGTGTAGTGTAGTGTAGTGTAATGTGATGTAATGTAAGGTAGGTCGGTAGGTAGGTAGGTAGGTATGTACGTACGTATGTATGTATGTATGTATGTATGTATGTATGTATATGTGTATATATATATATATATATATATATATATATATATATATATTATATAGGACATTCGTGCTTTTGGCCTTTTCTGGCCTTCCTGGAGGCCTCTTGGAGGCCTCTTGGGCTGTCTTGGGCCAGTTTCGAGCCATCTTCGGCCATCTTGGTGGGTTTCTGGCACGTCTGACACCGTCGGGAGCCGTCTTATGGTCCTCTCTGGGCCAACTTGGGGCCCTCTTGGGGCCCTCTGGGGGCGCTCCGGGGCCGTCTTAGAGGCCATCTTGGGCGTCTTGGAGGCCATCTTTGCCGTCTTGGAGGCCCTTTTGCTCTTGGGGCCTTCTTGGAGGCCTCTTGGGCCGCTCTGGGTCCATCTTGGAGGCCTCTTGGGCGATCTTGGGGGCCTCTGGCGCCGTCGTGGGCCGTCGGAAAGCCGAAAAGAAGCAAAAGCCAGCATCTTTGAAAAACCCAATAGAAATCAATGATTTTGACTTCTTGTGCCTTCTTGGAGGGCCTCTTGGAGGCCTCTTGAGGGCCTCTTGGGCCGTCTTGGAGGCCATCTTGGACCATCTCTAGGCCATCTTGGCCATCTTGGAAGGCATCATGGCGGCCATCTTCGATCATCTTGGCCATCTTGCAGGCCATCTTGGGCCATCTTCGCGATTTTTTGAGGATGTCCCTCGCGAAACGGCCGTTTTTGGGGCTTTGCAGCCACCTCTGGGCAAGCGTCCTGGGACCCCGGCGGGACGGGCCGAAGCCCCAGGGGGAGTTCTTTCGGAAAAAGAACCCAAACCAAAACCGAGAGGGTCCAGCACGCCAGGCACCCCTGCGATGAATCGACAGGGGGCGGCGGATCGAAGACGCCTACGGCGAATCACCGCCGCCCCCTGCCTTTTTGGAAGCGCCTGTGTGGCCGAACGTTGAGGCCAGACCTGCCAAGCTATCGGACCACGTGTTCCCCGAATCGGTTTGGAAAGCCTTCGGGGAACACGTGGGCATCTTGAAGGTCATCTTGGCCGTCTTGGAGGCCTCTTGGGCAAGCTTTGGGCGATCTTTGGGGCTTTTTGGGCCGTCTCGGGCCAGCTTCGAGCCAACTTCGGCCATCTTGGTGGGTTCCTGGCACGTCTGAAGCCGTCGGAAGCCGTTTGGGGGGCCTCTATGGGCCGACTTGGGGCCCGCTTGGAATGCTCCAGGGCCGTCTTGGAGGCCATCTTGGGCGTCTGGGAGGCCATCTTGGGCGTGTTGGAGGCCTCTTGGGCCCTCTTGGGGCCCTCTAGGGGCCATCTTGGAGGCCACTTGGGCCATCATGGGGCTCTCTTGGGGGCCTCTTGGGCGATCTTGGGGGCTTCTTGGGCCGTCTTGAGCCGTCGGAGAGCCGAAAAGGCGCAAATGCCAAAATCCTTCAAAAACCAAGGGAAAATCAATGATTTTGGCCTCTTCGGACTCTCCTGGAGGACCTCTTGGAGGCCTCTTGGGCCGTCTGGGAGGCCTCTGGGGGCCTCTTGGGCCGTCTTGGGCCGTCTTGGACTCTCTTGGGCCGTTTTGGAGGCCGTCTTGGACCATCTCGGGCGGACTTGGAGGCCATCTTGGGCCATCTTCGCGATTTTTTGAGGATGTCCCGAGCGAAACGGCCGTTTTTGGGCATTGACAGACGCATTTTGGGAAATGCGCGGGTGGCCGGCGGGACGGGCCGAAGCCCACTGGGGAGTTCTTTTAGAAAAAGAACCAAAACCAAAACTGAATCATCCAGCACGCCGTGCACCCCTGCAAGCAGGGGGCGGCGGATCGAAGACGCCTACGGCGAATCACCGCCGCCCCCTGCCTTTTTGGAAGCGCCTATGTGGCCGAACGTTGAGGCCAGACCTGCCAAGCTATCGGACCACGTGTTCCCCGAATCGGTTTGGAAAGCCTTCGGGGAACACGTGGGCATCTTGAAGGTCATCTTGGCCGTCTTGGAGGCCTCTTGGGCAAGCTTTGGGCGATCTTTGGGGCTTTTTGGGCCGTCTCGGGCCAGCTTCGAGCCAACTTCGGCCATCTTGGTGGGTTCCTGGCACGTCTGAAGCCGTCGGAAGCCGTTTGGGGGGCCTCTATGGGCCGACTTGGGGCCCGCTTGGAATGCTCCAGGGCCGTCTTGGAGGCCATCTTGGGCGTCTGGGAGGCCATCTTGGGCGTGTTGGAGGCCTCTTGGGCCCTCTTGGGGCCCTCTAGGGGCCATCTTGGAGGCCACTTGGGCCATCATGGGGCTCTCTTGGGGGCCTCTTGGGCGATCTTGGGGGCTTCTTGGGCCGTCTTGAGCCGTCGGAGAGCCGAAAAGGCGCAAATGCCAAAATCCTTCAAAAACCAAGGGAAAATCAATGATTTTGGCCTCTTCGGACTCTCCTGGAGGACCTCTTGGAGGCCTCTTGGGCCGTCTGGGAGGCCTCTGGGGGGCCTCTTGGGCCGTCTTGGGCCGTCTTGGACTCTCTTGGGCCGTTTTGGAGGCCGTCTTGGACCATCTCGGGCGGACTTGGAGGCCATCTTGGGCCATCTTCGCGATTTTTTGAGGATGTCCCGAGCGAAACGGCCGTTTTTGGGCATTGACAGACGCATTTCGGGAATTTGCGGGTGGCCGGCGGGACGGGCCGAAGCCCACTGGGGAGTTCTTTTAGAAAAAGAACCAAAACCAAAACCAGCTCATCCAGCACGCCGTGCACCCCTGCAAGCAGGGGGCGGCGGATCTAGTGGCCTTCGGCCCATCCCGCCGCCGTGCCTGGGTTGTGGGTTAGAGGCCTCTTGGATCTTCGTTTAGATATCGTGGGAGGCCTCTCAGGAGCCTCTTGGAGGCAGTTTTGAGGACTCTTCGGGGACGTTTGGGGGCCTCTTGGGGCCTCTTTTTGGGCCTCTTGGGGGCCTCGTGAGGCCTCTTGGGGACCTCTTGGGCTCTCTTTGGGGCCTCTTGGGGCCTCCTGGGGACTTCTTGGGGCGGAAGGCTCGAAGTGTAGTTTCTGTCCCCCTCTTGGGCCCCTCTTGGGGCCCTCTTGGTCGATCTTGGGCGCCTCTATGGCCGTCTTGAGGCCTTCTTGGACCGTCTTGGGGCCCTCTTGCGGTCTTCTTGAGTCGTCTTTGGGCCGTCTTGGGGGGCTCTGGGGCCATCTTGGAGCGTCGGAGGCTCGAAAGCGAGAGCACGCAAACAGCATAGAAAAAAACAAGGAAACTCACTGATGTTTGCCTCTTTGGGTCCTCTTGGGGTCCTCCTGGAGCGCTCTTTGGGGCTTCTTTGGGGCCTCTTGGGCCGTCTTGGGGCCATCTTGGGCGTCTTGGAGCGCTCTTGGGCTGTCTTGGAGGCCTCTTGAACCCCCTTGGGCGCTTTCTGGGGCCCTCTTGACCCGTCTTGGGGCCTGTGGTCTTTGGAAAATCATGCGAGGCAGCCCAAGGACGCGCGGGAACGCCCGGGAAATTTGAAAATTTGGGGCCCCAGCCTTTCGAATACTAGAATCCCAGAGTCCTGGGTACAGAGAAGAGGGAAGCCTTGAGGATCTGAGGACGCCGAAACGCAAAACGCTCACAACGCCCAGGGACATCCTGCGCGTGCCGCCGCCCGTGCCCCTTTGCGTGCCCTTCGCGCGCGTGCCCGGCAGGAGCCCCGCCCGCCCGCGGGGCCGATGGCCGCCTTCCTGGGCGGCAGCTCCGCCGCCACGCGCGCCGGCGCGGCCGCCAGCGCAGCGGTCGCCGCCGCCTACGACGACGACGACGCCGACGGAGTGCGGAAGTGAGCACCTCGGCACTTCTTCTGCTCCTCCCCCTCCTCCTCCTCCTCCTCCTCCTCCTCCTCCCTCTCCTCCTCCTCCCTCCCCTCTCCTCCTCCTCCTCCTCTCTTCCTCCTTCTCCTCCTCCTCCTCCTCCTCGCCCTCCTCCTCCTCCTCCTCCTCCTCCTCCTCCTCCTCCTCTTTCTCCTTCTTCTCCTCCTCCTCCTCCTGCAGCGTCGTCGCCCGCGGCGGCGGCGGCGGTGTGCGTGCCGTCTCGTGTGCACGCCTGGGTACGCGAGCGGCGCAGTGAGCGCGGCGGTGGACCACCGATGGGGTTGACCCTAAGCGGTGTTTTGGCCATCTCGTGGGCCGTTTTCGTTTCAACGTCGGTCTGCAGCAGAGACGGCTTGGAGACAAGACGGGCGACAACGAGAACAAGACGAAAACGAACAACGCTGTTTACACCCATGAGAGCGCAGGTAATCTCAGACAGAAATCTATAGAGAGCGCAGGTAATTGCATTGACTCCAGATTTCGTTAAAGAAAGTTAAGAATCTGGACTGGATTTGGGGCGTTTTCTTGGAGCCTCTTTTTTTCGTAGCCACATCGTATATCTGGATCAGGGCTACTGTTTGAGAGAACGTGCGGAGTGACATACACTTTGTCTTAGCCTAGAATTTTCTTAACTCTGACCAGAGATGTAGGTCGATCCCTGGGGGAGAGATGATAATGATGCTGATGATGCTGATGATGTTCATGATACTGATGATGATGATGATGATGTTGATACTGAT